CGCTGCTGTTAATATCGCTAGGGCTGCTACCTCTAATCGCACCTTTCCTCATTTCACTGTCTAATCCGACACGTGCACTGAACTCGAACACCAGAATGACGATTTCTTTCATGCCAGCAATTTGTGCAGAGTAGCTCTTCGCCGTCCAGGAAAGACTCATATTTTCCATCGAATTGGGCGTATAGACCTTTACCAAAAATCTTTTAGCTGTTTCAGTCTTAGTTGTCAACAAGTATAGAATAATAACATACTCAACATACAAACTAGAAGTTTTTTGTAATTTTTTTATTGTTCCGAAAATACTGGACAACGTAAATTAACTGCTTTTCTTCATCATTATCTGATCTCTTTCGTCACTAACGCTTAGACATCATACACTGCAAATTGATGGACTCTTCGAAAGCCGAAGTTTCTAGTAGAATAGCAAATAAATCGATCTAGTAGAAACTGAAGATGTACAGAAAAATATTTATTTATTTATTTACAATATTTCGCTTTAATTCCAAACATCAGTATTTACATACGCTTTCAAAAATAAAGTCAAATTTAAATAATAAGCGAATAGAACAGTTATAATAAATGTCAGCATATTAGCTAACAACTGATTTTCAATATTTCTGCCGAAGTCAAATCGCAGAAATTATTTGACCATTTCTATCCATTGTTGCAATGTGATCGCCGTTTGATATTTGCATTCCAGATCTGCTGACATAAACACGGTTTATTCCACGCTTAATAAATGCCCTCTGGTTGTCCTAAAAAAAACCTTTTAATATAAAGAAAAATTTTTTACTAAAACCGGCTCTTACGTACTGCAGTCGCTATCACAGCGATAATGTAATACAAATATTACAATCTTAAATTATGCGTAAGCTATAAAGTGAAATACATTTCAACTATAATTTAAATTTGTGAAAATTAAAATTTCTCCAATAAATATACAATGAACGACTCAAGATTCAGAATATCGTTGAAGATTAAAAATTGATTGCAATCGTATAGTATGAAGTGTGAATATTTTCGGTGATACAGGCACTAAATTTAGTGGCGGATCAAAGAAAACTTTAGAAAAATCAGTCATAAATCTGAGGATACACAGTATATATAATAGGAACAAACTGATGAAGAGACTTGTAATTTGCTTGACGGAATAAATTTGGCAAAGAACGAATTATTCTCCATGAATACATAGCCTTCCTTTTGTTGCACTGTTCATCATCGGTTTTCGAGTGAACTTGGAAACAGCCGGAACATATAATACTAATAGGTAGAAACGTAGCTTGTTTATTTCAACCATTTGATAGCCAAAACAAAATAATGCTGCAACAGCATCCTGAAATGTATATTACAACTGAATCACTTCACAGCCCGTCTGCTACATTTGACACACTCGGTGCCTAACTGATAAGCGAACATTCGTTTCGTTATAGGTGTGCCCATTTAAAAGTGGGAATCGTTTGCTATTGCAAATTCTGACTCATACGGAGCATAGAAACTGTCCGTTTTGATAGCTGGTTGCTTAACTTGATGAACCAATTCTGAAACTGTTAGAACAGCTTTACAGTAAACAATCTCCACTTTATCAATGCAAATGGCTCTACACGACACAAGAATCTCCTATCACTTATTCAGGTTTTTTTAGCTTCCGGCCCAGAAGCCATCGACAGAGATTTTTCACAACACAATATTAAAGTTCTACGGTAGAGTATTACAGTACTACAATGGTAAAATATTTCATTCCTGTGCTGACAGCCATTTTGAAAAAGCAAAAAAATCGCTTAAAGACACAACGCAACAACACAATGCTGTTAGATGACTGACTGATCGACACTAATGTTTCGATCCTTACTACAAGGCGTAGTGGTATCGGATTACCATCCAATAGATCATCATTCTGCAGTATATATTAATTAACCGCTTAGTATAATTTTTGCAGTAGAGCTTTACAAACGACCACAACGCCATTGTAAAGTTAGTATAACGGATATGAAAACGAGCAGGCTGTCACCTCTATAAGGAAAGAAAATTTAAAATATGCCGGTAAACATAGAAAGTTCGACAATATTCTTGTGATTTGGAGTGTATACTTTTACTTCATCAGTCGTCTAGCTCTCGGTTAAGATTTTTCCTTTTGGACAGCGGTGAGAATGATAACGGTGATTTTATTGGTGTTGTGATATTATGTTAAAAATGTGCAACCTGATCTAAGTATCGGAAATTGTTTAATATGAACAACGGCCATGTAAACGCTCTGTCACTAACTATTAGGACTGTTTGGTCAACCAGATTCTGCTATAAACATTTAGAAACGCCCATTCATCTTCGCTGCAAGTACAATATCTATTTTACGCTCAGCTAGCAGCGGGAAAGCCACAAAGATCGCTTCTATATCTATTTTCGACGCTTTGACATTGGAGCACCGAATCGAACTGATAGATAAAAATTCTAACTGTATAATCAACGTTTATGAACAGATACAAGCTGATAACCGTCATAAAAGCATAACATAAATTCGTATCACAATTCATGGAATATTGCACTTATAGAAAATGGAAAAGCTACCCTTTGACTATTTTTCAAACTGAAACATAAATACCGATATGTAGTACAACTTATATAGTTCACCAGCTTTAACGATAATTGTATCAGCAACACATGTGTTAAATACGGCTTACGAAACAGTTAAAAGTGATTATGCTCAAGAATCCAAGGAAATTTAAGTCCCTTCCCCCTTCTGCACCAAAAAGAGCGACTCGATGTCAGTTAGATTACATATGAAACGTTGCAAGTTTGACCTGCTTGAGCGGGATCTGCAAGTGGCGTAGGAGCCTACCGCAGACTCACAAAGTACTTCACACCTCTGAATTTGTTTAGTAAGCATCAGCTAAAAGATAATGTAATCAAATAAATGAATTGCCACACAATTACACACCAGAAAACGCTCAAAAAATAAACAGGTTATACGACCGTTGATTATGAGCCGCATTTCACAAATGAGGACAATTCACAGGCTGATACCGGTGATTTCACAAGCTTAACTGCCAGTGTGGAATACCGATGCACTACGAGATAATCAGACAGAGCTGAATTATCATACTGATAGTAAAATCTAAAGTCAAAACGTACCTCTATGCCCATATCGACGAAACTAGTGGTGATTTTGGCTGTACGGTTGATGGTATGAATTTCGAGAACCGTATTATTGTGCACTACTGTCGCTTTTCCATGGTGATCCCATTTGAATGTTATGCCATTTATATTGGCCTGAAATGATCGTCCATCCGCTGACCTGTCGTATGTCGCATGTTCGATGACATAACGGCACTGTTGCAAAACGACTGCATCGGGTGTTTCCGGATAATGGAAAACCCGTGTCGCCAAATCAAAATGGATATCAGGAAATCTAACTCTGCCATAGATATTCTGAAGCTTTCTCCTACTGATGAAGTACGCATATGGCAAATCAGTTCTACTGAACGCCACCGCCTGAAATAATAGCCTTTATGTGCCTTTATTAACAATGAAAAATATTTACCCCTCCAGTAAAAACCGCTGCTTTATGATCTGAAAACGAAGCATGTACAACCGCACTTTCCTGAAGAGCATACATGTCGTTGTGCACTATGCAGCTGTCGGTCCCTCCATCATTGACCGCTAGCGAACAATGACCGATGTGTGACATTCGTAGAGCGTTGCTAAGCGTTAGGTCGACTTTTACGTATCGCTCAAGGAAGACTGTAATGAACCCAGTAGGATTCAAATAAATATTCGGGTAGTTCATAACGTTGTCAGAAGCAGAGGCATCCATATCTATAACTTCTTTTTATGCGACATTAGCAAATATTTTAATCATCTGTTAAATATATTTTTCAGATAATAGCGATGGTATTTACAGCATGATGTCCACTCCTAAAATTCACAGTCCGTTGCAGTTCAGCAACAACCCTTTCAAAGAATTTCCGTTTAATTACTTTTGAATTACAAATGATGAGATAAAGCTGTGCTATTTAGTATATTCATACGCTGTAAAATAACCTTATCTTACGAAGGAGGTATTTATTCATTACTTGCTTGGATAATGGTAAATGGTACTTAGTTCTCGATTCAAATTCTAAACTGTTACTTTAAAACTTTGACGGAAATCCGAAGATCATCAACCTTACCATATATATTCGTTTTTGTTGTTCTGTCATTGTGTTGGCTTACGGAGCTTGAAAAGCAGGGTTACCTAAATTTATTATGTCTACTGGTCATAATTATGTTAGTTTGCATACTGCCAGAATCCCAAGTGGTTATTCGGCATTGTTTAGCTTATGAACTAGGAGTCCTAATGACTGGCTAAAAACAGGGAGGGGCGTAAGAAAATCTCGCGCGTATGGCTTTGTGATCCCTGGAGTCAATCACAGAGACCACAGCGTACAAGTTCTAGAGACTTCAGCGTGGAAGTTCAGAGAGACCTCAGCGTGGAATTAATCACAGAGACCTCAGCGTGGAACTTAGGTCAGTGATGATGAACTACTCCGTTGACTTTACTATGAGGGCACAAAAGTACAACTTTTAATTTTAAGCTAAAATTGAGCACAGTTAACAATATTCTAAATGATTGGCAAAACAATGAAGTATGATTTACCATAATTACATATTATTACATTCGATGTTCCTGCTGAATAATACTGTTTGCTGTTCAATGTGATGATAATCTTGACCCGTTTGCACACGCAAAATTGTTCTGGTATGTCCATCGCATTCCCAGTTTTTCAACTCTACTGCTATAAGACATAAGTCCTCATCACAGAAGGAAATATGCGTATTCATAAACAGATTCTTTTCTACTTCGTTCTCCATGTTCAGTGCTGACCTTCTGGTCAATCTCTGTCACGTGTCCATTATAGCGCTCGATGAAATAAATGGTTTATGATTAGTAAGTGTGTCCAACAAATACAGTGTAAGATATCAGAAGCATTACAGAGGCCATGAAGAAAAAATTAATCGCCGATTGTTTTTTCAATTGTCAGGTCTAGGTGATACGACGGATTTAATTTACCCCTTACAGTTTCCACAGCAAAATTACTCAATAAGTGAATTTTTCTGGAATGGTCAGCTATCTGCAGGCAAATTTCAGTGTCTGTAATACTGAGAAATAAATACTGAGAAAACGACGTCTATAAGTAAGAAAACTGGATGCTCAGCAACCACTGATATCATGCTTTGCAAACTTTCCTACCGCGTTCGACGGGGGGACAAAAGTATACCATTTTGGCGAAATTCCATTCATAATCTTTTCTCTGCACATTTACACTGTAACAAAGTAGTAACAAAACAGAATACCGTTAATTATGAGTCCAATCCTTCATTGGATGATTCTTCTAATCCATTCTTATTAAGGAATACCTCATAACATGTCGTTTTCGGCTTACTTTATAAACTAGAGCAGTTCAGTGAGTGATAGTTTCGCAACGCTGAACGCAAATATGCAAGTACAGAGAGCATGTTCTAACCTTCTCTATGTCAAGAAAGCATGCACACCGATATACGATGTAATGCTACTAAAACCTCTTGCATGAGTGTTCAAGAGATTACCTATTCATGGATGCACTGGGTCCCATGTAAAACGCAATATATAACATAATTAGAATATTTTATTAATTTTTCGATACAATGCTAATATAGTTTTGACTATAAATAATACATAAAAGTGTGAAGAGCGAAAACGGTTTAAAGGATGGACAGAATTTTGAGTGAAGCTTATGGAGTTACTGGAAATCGAAACGATGCTGAAAAAGTACCGCAAATTTATGATTTCGCCCAGGGTTTAACCAATTTTAGTATTGATTAATATTTATATCATGCTTTGATATTGTTT